AAAGGTGAACGGAGGGCGCACACTGATCGATTATGATAATGAAGACCTCTCTAGACGCTCTTAGAGATGCTTCTCCCCACATGCTCAAATCTCTGCTGCACTCAATAAACACTAGTAATCCCCCCCTCCCTGTCAGCAGAACATTGTGTGGTTATTGATCTGTGCTAACTGGGTCTTTAATAACTGGGGTCTAGAGATCTCTGGCCTCAGTTGGTGAAATGCATGCTGACATGTGACGGACGGGAGGAGCTCAATAGGCAAAAATGTGGAGCCTGGTGAAAAAGAATGGGCCTATCCATTTAGCATTTTTGTCCCGTTTTGTATCCCTAACACATCTGCTAAGAAAAGGAGACAACACCAACACACCTGCCGTCAGAGTACACACACACAGGGAAGAGACCGATAGGACAGCTGCAATACGTACAGCTGCAATTACGGACATATTAAATCTCTCCCTATCCCAGTCTGCTGTTCCCACATGCTTCAAGATGGCCACCATTGTTCCTGTACCCAAGAAAGCAAAGGTAACTGAACTAAATGACTATCGCCCCGTAGCACTCACCTCTGTCATCATGAAGTGCTTTGAGAGACTAGTCAAGGATCATATCACCTCTACCTCACCTGTCACCCTAGACCCACAGATGACGCAATCGCCATCACACTGCACACTGCCCTATCCCATCTGGACAAGAGGAATACCTATGTAAGAATGCTGTTCATTGACTATAGCTCAGCATTCAACACCATAGTACCCTCCAAGCTCATCATTACGCTCGAGGCCCTGGGTCTGAACCCTGCCCTGTGCATCTGGGTCCTGAACTTCCTGACGGGCCGCCCCCAGGTGGTGAAGGTAGGAAACAACATCTCCACTTCGCTGATCCTCAACACTGGGGCCCCACAAGGGTGCGTGCTCAGCCCCCTCCTGTACTCCCTGTTCACCCATGACTGCGTGGGCAAGCACGCCTCCAACTCAATCATCATGTTTGCAGATGACACAACAGTAGTACGCTTGATTACCAACAATGACGAGACTGCCTACGTGGTCCTCTGTAGCTCAGCTGGTAGAGCACGGCGCTTGTAACGCCAAGGTAGTGGGTTCGATCCCCGGGACCACCCATACACAAAAAAAATGTATGCACGCATGACTGTAAGTCGCTTTGGATAAAAGCGTCTGCTAAATGGCATATTATATTATATTATTTATATTATATTATACAGGGAGGAGGTAAGGGCCATGGGAGTGTGGTTCCAGGAAAATAACCTCTCACTCAACGTCAACAAAACAAAGGAGATGATCGTGGACTTCAGGAAACAGCAGAGGGTGCACCCCCCTAACCACATCGATGGGACCGCAGTGTAGAAGGTGGAAAGCGTCAAGTTCCTTGGCGTACACATCACTGACAAACTGAAATGGTCCACCCACGCAGACAGTGTGGTGAAGAAGGCGCAACAGAGCCTCTTCAACCTCAGGAGGCTGAAGAAATTTGGCTTGGCACCTAAAACCCTCACAAACTTTTACAGATGCACAATTGAGAGCATCCTGTCGGGCTGTATCACCGCCTGGTATTAGCAACTGCACCGCCCGCAACCGCAGGGCTCTCCAGAGGGTGGTGCGGTCTGCCGAACGCATTACCGGGGGCAAACTACCCGCCCTCCAGGACACCTAGAGCACCCGATGTCACAGGAAGGCCAAAAAGATCATCAAGGACATCAACCACCTGAGCCACTGCCTGTTCAACCCGCTATCATCCAGAAGGCGAGGTCAGTACAGGTGCATCAAAGCTGGGACAGAGAGAATGAAAAACAGCTTCTATCTCAAGGCCATCAGACTGTTAAATAGCCATCACTAGCACATTAGAGGCTACTGCTGCCTATTGAAATCACTGGCCACTTTAAGAAATGGAACACTAGTCACTTTAATAATGTTTACATATCTTGCACTACTCATCTCATATGTATATATCAATCGAACGCTGCTTGCACCCGCCCGCCCGATTAGAAACACTACTCTCGGCAGGTCTGACTTAGAATATGTGGACAACTACAAATACCTAGGTGTTTGGTTAGACCGTAAACTCTCATTCCAGACTCACATTAAGCATCTCCAATCCAAAGTTAAATCTAGAATCGGCTTCCTATTTCGCAACAAAGCCTCCTTCATTCATGCTGCTAAACATGCCCTCGTAAAACTGACTATCCTACCGATCCTTGACTTCAGCGATGTCATTTACAAAATAGCTTCCAACACTCTACTCAGCAAATTGGATGTAGTCTATCACAGTGCCATCCGTTTTGTCACCAAAGCCCCATATACTACCCACCATTGTGACCTGTACGCTCTCGTTGGCTGGCCCTCACTACATATTCGTCGCCAAACCCACTGGCTCCAGGTCATCTAACAATCACTTCTAGGCAAATCCCTGCCTTATCTTAGATCATTGGTCACCATTGCAACACCCACCCGTAGTATGCGTTCCAGCAGGTATATCTCACTGGTCATCCCCAAAGCCAACACCTCCTTTGGCCACCATTCCTTCCAGTTCTCTGCTGCCAATGACTGGAACAAACTGCATAAATCTCTGAAGCTGGAGACACTTATCTCCCCCACTATTTTTAAGCATCAGTTGTCAGAGCAGCTTACCAATCACTGCACCTGTACACAACCCATCTGTAATTAGCCCACCCAACTACCTCATCCCCATATTGTTATTTATTTTGCTCATTTGCACCCCAGTATCTCTATTTGCACATAATCTTCTGCACATCTATCACTCCAGTGTTAATACTACATTGTAATTATTTTGCACTATGGCCTATTTATTGCCTTACCTCCATAACTTACTACATTTGCACACACTGTATATAGATTTTCTATTGTGTTATTGACTGTACGTTCTGTTTATTCCATATGTAACTCTGTGTTGTTGTCGTTTTTAATCGCACTGCTTTGCTTTATCTTGGCCAGGTCGCAGTTGTAAATGAGAACATTTACTGTATTCTATTCTATAATATTCTACTGTATCTTAGACCATGCCGCTCTGCCATTGCTTGTCCATATATGTATATATTCTTAAATTCCATTCCTTACTAGATTTGTGTGTATAGGGTATATGTTGTGAACTTGTTAGATATTACTGCACTGTCGGAGCTAAAAGCACGAGCATTTCGCTACACCCGCAATAACATCTGCTAAACACGTGTATGTGACAAATAAAATGTAATTGTACTGTACTATAAATGCACATGATATGCACTAACATAAGTAAACCTTAGCCTACATTTGGAAAACTATACATTATACACTGTGTACAAAACTTTAAGGACACCTTCCTAATATTGAATTGCACCCCCCCTTTTGCCCTCAGAACAGCCTCAATTCGTTGGGGCATTGACTCTACAAGGTGTCGAATGAGTTCCACAGGGATGCTGGCCCTTGTTGACTCCAATGCATCCCACAGTTGTGTCAAGTTGGCTGGATGTCCTTTGGGCGGTGGACCATTCTTGATACACACGGGAAACTGCTGAGCATGAAAAACCCAGCAGCGTTGCAGTTCTTGACACAAACCGGTACGACTGGCACCCTGTTCAAAAGGCACTTAAAATCTTTTGTCTTGCCCATTCACTCTCTGAATGGCACACATACATAATCCATGTCTCAAGGCTTAAAAATCCTTTAACCGGTCTCCTCCCCTTCAGCTACACTGATTGAAGTGGATTTAACAAGTGACATCAATAAGGGATCAAAGCTTTCACCTGGATTCACCTGGTCAGTCTATGTCAGGGTTGCCAAACCCTGTGGAGCTACCCTCCTGTAGGTTTTCCCTCCAACCCCAGGTGCTACTAACCTGATTCATCTTATCAACCTGCTAATTATTAGAATCAGGTGTGCTAGATAAGGGTTGGAGCAAAAACCTACAGGACGGTAGCTCTCCAGGAACAGTGTTGGTGCAGTCCTGGTCTATGTCATGGTGTTCTTAATGTTTTGTATACTCGGTGAAGGCTGCACTTGTTAGTGATATTTTTATGTTTATCCTGCTTTGACATATGCAGGAAAAAAAGTTTTACATTGAAATGATTAAGTAAACCAGATCTTTTTAATAGAAAACAATAAACCAAAATAAACAAATACAAAAGGAAACAATTTACAGGACAAGTTCTCTTTTACCAGTATATATATGTTATACCATATAACAAATCATAGGCGTTAGTTAATATAAACGGTTTCATATCGGTCTGCATTGCAGCATAATGTGGACAGTTTTTCTACATACCCTGGGAGTAATAGGTTCTATCTGTGTGGATAGAAAAGTAGCCTAAGTTACTTAAATGCAGTGTACAGGACACAGAGATAGTGAGATTTGATGGTCAAGCTATTCAACACCATCTCTAATCAACCATACCAGGACAATTTCAGAAATTCATATTTCTGGTTTGGGGTCTGACCAAGTCCGTCATGATGAATCAAGTTTGAGAGCTACCAAAATACTAAGAGATTGACATCAGTACAGATAGTGCAAGTTGGGCCAAGGCTGCAGCTCAGCAGCAATAGCATTTTCACCCTAACATAATGTGAACAAGTCCAATGCCCTGACATTTCATTTGACAGAAAGGTTATATTTGATGGGAGCCTTCGATGTAACTCCCTCCCCCCCACCTTTCAGAAATAGATGGCGGGAGGAGGAGAAGAATACATACCAAGAAAAACTGGTGACAATCATGATCATGGATCTTCTAAATGAAATACGTAAACAGTAAATGAAAACACTGCTGATTTTTGCTCTTTCCCTGCTTGCTCCATCGAGGGCACTGGCTCTGCTTTATTCCAACAAGGCCGGAGCAGCACCTGTTCACAATGGCCCACCTGACCAGGCAACGTAGTGACTTGGCTGTCTGTGCAGATCTCTGCAGAGGAGCCTATTCTCACCCTCTCTGTCAAGGTCCTATCCCAGTCAGTGGAACTCAAGTGCTGTGGCTGTTTTGGAATACCTGAAGCGCTCCTGCTACTTATTTCTTGTCAAGTGCTGGGCTGTTGGCTTCTCAGACTGACAGTTCTCTCTCCGGGCCTTCAGCGCCCCGCCTCTCTCCCTCCCTATCAGTCTCTCTGCAGCGGTCCGGTTAGAGGGGAGGGGTGGAGCAGAGGTCACCTCTTCACCTTGGCGTCTTCTCGGATCTTCCACATCATGAGCTCCATGCAGGCACAGGCGTCCTCACTGGAGTCATGACCTTCAACTGAAACCAGAGAGAGAGAGAAATGGCCTACTAGGGATTTGTTGACATGTGACCAAAAATAGAAACAACATGCAACAATTTCAAAAAGGAAATCAGTCAATTGAAACACTGTAAATTCATTAGGCCCTAATCTATGGATTTCACATGACTGGGAATACTGATATGTATCTGTTGGTCGCAGATACCTTTAAAAAAAAGGTAGGGGTGTGGATCAGAAAACCAGTCAGTATCTGGTGTGACCACCATTTGCCTCATGCAGCGTGACACATCTCCTTCGAATAGAGTTGATCAGGATGTTGATTGTAGCCTGTGGAATGTTGTCCCACTCCTCTTCAATGGCTGAGTGCAGTTGCTGGATATTGGCGGGAACTGGAACACGCTGTCGTACACGTCGATCCAGAGCATCACAAACATGCTCAATGAGTGAGTAGGCAGGCCATGGAAGAACTGGGACATTTTCAGCTTCCAGGAATTGTGTACAGATCCTTGTGACATGGGGCCGTGCATTATGCTGAAACATGAGGTGATGGCGGCGGATGAATGGCAAGACAATGGGCCTCAGGATCTCGTCACGGTATCTCTGTGCATTAAAATTACCATAGATAAAAAAGCAAATATGTTAGTTGTTCGTAGCTTATGCCTGCCCATACCATAACCCCACCACCACCACGGGGCCCTCTGTTCACAACGTTGACATCAGCAAACCGCTTGCCCAAAGGACACCATACCATCTGCTCGGTACAGTTGAACCGGGATTCATCTGTGAAGAGCACACTTCTCCAGCGTCAGTGGCCATCGATGGTGAGAAATTGCTCATTGAAGTCTGCTACGACCCTGGTGAGGATGACGAGCACGCAGATGAGCTTCCCTGAGACTGTTTGACAGTTTGTGCAGAAATTATTCGGTTGTGCACACCCACAGTTTCATTAGCTGGTCTCAGACGATCCTGCAGGTGAAGAAGCCGGATGTGGAGGTCCTGGGCTGGCGTGGTTACACATGGTTTGTGGTTGTGAGGCCGGTTGGACGTACTGCCAAATTCTCTAAAACGACGCTGAAGGCGGCTTATGGTAGAGAAATTAACATTAAACTATCTGGCAACAGCTCTGGTGGACATTCCTGCAGTCAGCATGCCAATTGCACACTCCCTCAAAACTTGAGACATCGGTGCCATTGTGCTGTGTGACAAAATTGCACATTTTAGTGGCCTTTTATTGTCCCCAGCAAAAGGTGCACCTGTGTAATGATCATGCTATTTAATCAGCTTCTTGATACGCCACACCTGTCAGGTGGATAGATTATCCTGGCAAAGGAGAAATGCTCACTAACAGGGATGTAAACGAATTTGTGCACAACATTTGAGAGAAACATTTCTGGGATCTATTATTTCGGCTCATGAAACATGGGACCAACACTTTACATGTTGCGTTTATATTTTTGTTCAGTATATATATATATATCATAGGAACAATAATAAACAGTGTAGTGAGGGTTTAGCTGCTCACCGCTGTCCTGTATGATGCGTTTGAGGTGGTCTGCCATGAGGTTCCTCAGGGCCCGCTTGTAGGGAGAGCCCAGGCGATGGGGGAACACGATGGCTGTGTCCACTACAGTGCTGTGTATGACCTACGAAGACAGCAGCGAGAGGTACAGAGTGAGTGGGCCACATTACAAAACACACACATAATGACCAGAGGGCAATCAGATTAGGGGAGTGTGTATGTGTACCTTGAGGGCGAAGAGGTCACTCTCCAGGCTATGTCCTATGAGGATGGACTCAGAGCTGAACATGTTGAGCATCACCGCCTGCACGTCTCTCAGAGTGATCCTGGCATTCTCCAGGTCTTCCTCTGTTACACCCGAAAATCTGTGCAAAACATGATGAATATTGTTATTTTGTCCTAGTGTGTGTGTGTGTGTGTGTGTGTGTGTGCACGCGCATGCTAGCTATATCTCCACAATCAAGACTGAACAAAGACCTTCTGTATCCATTACCGTGTGTTGTAGTCAACCACTTTGCTTTCAGGTTTAACAAATGTGTCGTAGATTACTTTCAGCTCAGAGTTGATAACAGTCACCCTGGTCAGCTCCAGACCCTGCCTTGTGTAGCACTATTACAGAGGCGCGAGAGAGAGGACACATTATATAGGGTATTAAGAGCCACTCTCAGCACTCAAACAGCTAATTGTGCCCAAAGGAAAGCAGTGCAGCAGCCAGCTCACCATCTCACAGTCCAGGGCATAGACTCCACCGTTTCCGTCCGGGGGAAGCTGTTTCTCAAAGGTCTGAACGTAGCCATCCAAAGACTCTTTGCGTCCGTCCTGAACGTGTTGCTATGAACAGACAAGACGCAAGGAGGAAACTCCACGACAAGTAAACCATCTTTTAAAAATAATGGTGGTATTTATTCATTCTTAAATATAAGCACAGAGATGGTATTCTGGGGAGGCATCAGGTCCAATGAGTAGCACAGTCACAATGTGACATGGACAACACTGCCCCCTTGTGTTCCCATAACAGTTCAGTATCCATATTAGTTCTGTTCACATAAATGCAATGCAGCAGAACTGCTAGGTGTGCTACCTTAGACACGGAGCAGCCAGGAGAGCCCACAGCTCCTGAGCAGCAGTTGTAGTTGGTTTCCCAGCCTCCCGACACTGTTCATAGATGGACGGAAGCCCTTACTAGTTTCATCCAAAATGGGCGACTACATTCAAATCCTAACATCTTGCCATTTACAGCATGCAAAAATTCAAACAATGCAAAAGTGAATACAGACAAACAGACCTTTATGCCTACGCAGACGGCCCCAGTGGTGATTACACTCCTCCTTGTGAACACAGTTGCCGTTGGCATTGATCTTATACTCGGCCCCACATCGACAGCACACCTTGGCAAACGCTTGGAATGAGAAGAGATTAGGGGAAGATTTTTTTATGTGTCTGGTCGAGAAGGATTGGATCCACCCCAGACTGAGGAGGGTGTGAAGGTGCTTTGTAAAGACTTACGGTCAACGTTCTTCTTCTCCGGGACGTTGTGGACCACAGCTCGACCTGAGCGCTCAGGGTGTGGCCTAGGGTATCCATTCTCCTGCAGCAGTTCCTCCGTCATCAGATAGTCCCTCAGTTTCCTGTACAGAGTAGCACCTACAGCAGACCAGATAACATAGCTAGAATACAAACCCCTACTGCCAGTAATACCAGCTCCAACCAGAGGACTAGCTACTCACCACTGAGTTTCTCCGCCTGTTGCTTGCCTGTCCTATTAATGGTGAAGCTGGTCTTGGCAGCAAGGCGCCCCCCCAGCACTTCTTCATGGGACTGGGCCTTCCTGTTCCCCACCACTGCAGGGCTCACTGAAAGACAAGCAGGCTGATAAGACTGATCTACAGTCAGTTTGGTATTTTTTCACCTAATGGTAAAAGTTAGAATTGTGCCAAAGGGCAATGACTAACAGGAGCACTGCAACTACACCAAACACCATCCGTTTGTAATTGCTACATGGATACTGTATGTTATCAGTGACATACTGGCAATAAGTGAGGTGGGGGAGCTGCTCTTGCTGCGTAGCTTCTTCAGTGCATTGACTGCCACGTTGAGGTAGATGTTCTTACTGCTGCTCCGGTCATACACCACCACCTCCTCCTGCAGGGCCTAGAGAGACCGTCCGCTGTTACAACTTTCAATGCACACTATGAATAAGCTCCCAAAAATGTGAATGGGTAAACCACCTGAACCCACATCAAATATTTCACAAACATAACTCATCCACCCTTTTCTGAAATGGGATACCACTAGCTGTTCTATGAGCACACATACTTTACTGTAGACATGGATCAATTTGATGATGAATCAGTTTAACCATGTGTGGTATCACATACCATTTGGAAGGCCACATCTTCAGAGGGGCAGAACTTCATACACTCATCTATAAATGTGTTGAGGTATCGCTGGCGGACGTTGGTGGGCACTTTGGCCCCAAACTCGGTGGGAATAACTGGCCGCTTCATTGCAGAGCTCTGAGAACAGAAAAATCATGTCAATTACATGGACGCCCATTTTATGGGCTGTTCTGGCATAATATCAATATCTGGCATTACCTTCATTGTGGGAGTGTGTGCCACCCTCTTCTGTGCAATAGTGGTGGTGGTCTTTGACAGGATCCCGGCAGATGTTTGGGCCTTCACAGAGAGACCTGCTGGGAGGGTACAGGTGGGCGACAACACTCTGCTGCCCGCCGACTTTGCCTCAGCAAGACCTTCAGTCAGATACAGAAAGGTTTCTCAACAACACAGACCTTAAATTACACTTTTCTGGTCTCATATTGTTTGTGCAATCGTAATGTATACAAACTGTGTTAGATGACCTGGAAGATAGACGTTTCTAGTTAAGTTTCAAGTTTTATTAGTCATATGTACGGGATACACATGGTATACACCGTCCAACAAAATGCTTACTTGCAGGTTCCTTCTCGACAATAAGAAATAAATAAAGGCCTTAGGCCAAGCTTTCCTACCAGATTTGGAGGAGGATGGTAAAGGGGTGGGGCGGTGGGCTACTCTCTTCCTCTCCCCAAGTAAGGGGCTGGGGCTGGGACTTGGCCTGGGTGTGGAGGCAGTCTTCACAGCTGCAGCCAGCTGAACAGCCTGCTGCTGTGCTATCTGCATGCGCTGGTAACAGATCTCCTGGGCAGTCAGTCTCCTGTATGGTGGAGGCTTCGGGGTTGCCTCAGTCTGAAACACAGAATCCAGTTTGTAATCAATGAAAGGTTTTTTGCTGCTTGAGTTACCATAAATATGTGGGTAAATACCAGAGAACAAACTCACACTTCCTTTGGCTGAGAAATGTGAAACCCTTTTCCTCTGACCGGGGAAAAGAGTGGTTTGATTGCTCTCAGTGGAATCCTCATCCTCTGAATCTTTAGAGGGCTGGGAAGGGAGAGAAACTTTGGGCAAATGTACAGTACATTTCATACAATATTCTACGAATATCTACTGAACTAAAATATATTATTATTATTAAAATATAAACACAACATGTAAAGTGCTGGTCCCAAGTTTCATGAGCTGAAATAAAAGATCAGACATTTTCCACACGCATAAAAAGCTTATTCCTTTCAAATTTTGTGCAGAAATTTGTTTACATCCCTGTTAGTGAGCATTTCTCAATCACCAAGATAATCCATCCACCTGACAGGTGTGGCATATCAAGAAGCTGATTAAACAGCATGATCATTACACAGGCGCACCTTGTGCTGGGGACAATAAAAGGCCTCTAAAATGTGCAGTTGTGTCACAAAACACAATGCTACAGATGTCTCAAGTTTTGAGGGAGCGCGCAATTCGCATGCTGACTGCAGGAATATCCAACAGAGCTGTTCCCAGAGAATGTAATGTTAATTTCTCCACCATAAGACACTTCCAACATCGTTTTAGAGAATTTGGCAGTACGTCCAACCGGCCTCACAAAAGCAGAACACGTGTAACCACGCCAGTCCTGGACCTCCACATCCAGCTTCTTCACCTGCGGGATCATCTGAGACCAGCCTCCCCAGACAGCTGATGAAACTGAGGAGTATTTCTGTCTTAAATAAAGCCCTTTTGTGGGGAAAAACGTATTCTGATTGGCTGGGCCTGGCTACCCAGTGGGTGGGCCTATGCCCTCTCAGGCCCACCCATGGCTGCGCCCCTGCCCAGTCATGTGAAATCCATAGATTAGGGCCTAATTAATTTAATTTACTGATTTCCTTATATTTACATTTACATTTTAGTCATTTAGCAGACGCTCTTATCCAGAGCGACTTACAGTTAGTGAATACATATTTTTTTTATACTGGCCCCCCGTGGGAATCGAACCCACAACCCTGGCATTGCAAACGCCATGCTCTATCAACTGAGCTACATCCCTGCCGGCCATTCCCTCCCCTACCCTGGACGACGCTGGGCCAATTGTGCGCCGCCCATGAGTCTCCCGGTCGCGGCCGGCTGCGACAGAGCCTGGATTCGAACCAGGATCTCTAGTGGCACAGTTAGCACTGCTAGTGCCTTAGACCACTGCGCCACTCAGGAGTACACAATGAACTGTAACTGAGTAAAATAGTTGAAATTGTTGCATGTTGCATTTATATTTTTGTTAAGTATAATATTGGAGACACAAAAACATTACATTCAGTCCCATTCTTAAAATAATGACACCATTACTGACCTGAACGAACAGGATAAACAGCAGTGAATGCTAAGCTAAGGAAATATTATACAAAACAAGCTACAATGAAGGGACATGGCAATCTATGGGTACCTTGGCTTGCCTTCCCTTGTCCTCAGTCTTCACATCCTTGGATTCATTGAAGATCCGTAAGCACTCCTCCATTGGGTCATTATCCAGGTCAAAGTCCATGTCCACCTGCAGACCAGAGTAGTCCACCCCACCGTCATCCATGTCATCATAGCCCCCGTCATCTTCCGCACCAACGTCGTCATCCTCTGAGGATGAGGGGGTGAGCTCTGAGACCTTCCTCCTATTCAAACTCCCCCTCTTGAAAGCAGCAGCTGACTTCCTCACAATTGTCTCCTCTTCCTCATCCTCCTCACTTTTCTCCTCTACACTCTCATCACCAAACAGATCTACGTGACTCAGAGATCTTTGTTCCACCTTTCCTGTTTTACCATCAGAGGAGCTACTGCTGCTTTTCTTCACCTTGTCTTTACTGCTGTTAGAACTCCTTTTGCTAACTTTCTTCGAGTCCTTTTCTCTTCCATTGCCGTCATATTTACCATTCTTGTGTTCTTTAAACTTAGAAGAGTCCTTTTCCTTGTCTGAAGTCTTCTGTTTTTTACTATCCCCACCCCTCTTTTCTCTCTCATTCTCTCTCTTGCTTGACTCCCCTTTAACTTTGTCTGTCCTTATCTTACTCTTTCCATCACTTCTCTTTTCTTCCTTTCCCTCCTTCTTGCCTTTGTCTATGGATGTATCCTTTATCTTGCCTTTCTCTTCTCTCTTTCCCTGATTCTTGCTGTCCTTCTTTGCAGTTTCGTGGCTTGATTTCTTTAAATCACTTACTTTCTCAACGTCCCCTGCTCCTTTTTTACTATTACTACCACCACCACTCTTTTTACTGGACTCCTTTTCAGATTTATGCACCTTCTTTACTTTGCTGCTCTTCATTTGGCTGGTTTTACCTGGCACTTTTTCAGTCTCTGGCTTGTCATTCTGCCTAGCTACTACTTCCTGGTTCTCCAAGTCCTCTGACTCCCAGTGTGCAGTGTCCTGCTGCTTTTTAGACTCCCGACTCCAACTCTGTTGTTTCAGCCCACCTACGGCTCCTTCTGTCCCCTCTCCTTTCCCTTCCTCCACTGACCCACTGCTGCTCTTCCTCCTCTGCAGACGGCTGAGAGAGGTGGGTCGATACTCTGTCCCAGAGCTCTCTTCATCAGACTCAGAGAAACTGGCAGTGTACCTCAGTAGGTCTGGTATCACCTGCCGTGGCTTCTTAATGGTTGGCACATATTCCTCATCTGTTGACCGCTTTCCAGTCCCTGATAGGTGAGGTCTCTTTTTCCCTTCGCCCAGAGTAGCACCTGTCCTCTGGTTCTTCTTATTTATGCCAGCAATTTTAGCTGAATAGTTGGAGAGAGGGTCATATTCCATGTCTGTGGATGGTTTAGAATTATCCACTGTGTACTTATTCTTGGAGCAGGATGCAATAGTGGAGTACTTAGGACTAGTAGGCAAAGAGTGAAGATGAGGAGTTTGTGTTCGGGGAACAGGCTTTTTCACAGCTGTTTTGGTAACTGAGGTGGGCACATATTCCATGGAGCTGGCATGGTTGTCCTTGCTGTCAGAGTCCAAGGTGTACTTCCTGGAGCGAGGGGTAGGGTTATAATCAGCTGTTGTAGTCATCTGATAACTGCCTGGGTCATACGCCAAGTGGGATGCCAAGGCCGGTGGTTTTGGCCATTTAGCCACCACTTTGGGGGAACTGGCGGTAGGGTCATATTCCTGGTCCCCGATTCGTGAGAGTTTCTTCTTTTCCCGCTCCACCTCACTGCGTACCTCCTCGATGGCGCGATTGACCAACTCAAGCTCCAGGGCACCCATGTCCACTGTGGCAGCAGCAGGCTCCCCATTCTGTTGCTCCTCAGGTCTCACTACCTCTGGGTTGAATGGGTCATAGCCACATTGCTCTGGAGAGAGCCATGATACAGATTAGAATTAGCAAATTGTCAAGAATTTTCTATGGTAAGAATAATGTACAGTTTTACAGTACTGTAACAGTTCAATTGAATACGTTCTATTCGGTCTACCTTGGAGTGAAATAAGGTTTCAAATGCCGTTGTCAACAAACGTGACTTGAGACAAGACGCAGAATTATTCCAATTAAAAGGGTTAACATCCGGACACCACATACCCGGTATATCACTTTGACTTTACTCTAGTTAACAAGCTAACTAGTTAATGCAGCTAAGAAATTACACAGTATTGCCGATTCGGAGGATTCATTTAATGTACAAGTTGCAATTGTGTCGTCAACCCTTTAGTAAGGCAGGGAATAATTTAGCAAGTTAAACACTATGCAGCCACTGCGACATAATGTACACTCGCTAGCTAGCTAACGTAAGCCATATTATATTAATACAATATAAATGCAACTCACCCTTTTGTTTGGAGTAAAACTCGTTTGATTTTCGAATGTCATTTGATACATAAGACGCCGGTCTCTGTTGGCTGTGTCTGAAGTGACAGTACGGTCTTTCGCACCCATCTTTGACGCTTTTCACGTTGCAACTATCCGTGTTAAACGGGCAGTCAATCCCACGGAAGAAACCGGTGGATCTCAGCATAGTCTTCCCTGACCTCTCTCATTCCCGCAGACTCGAGACCGACACAATTTGGTGTAGTAGTTAGTTTTTTTGTTTTTGTTTGAGTAAATGGACATGAATCCACTTGGATTCACATAGCTACGTGCAATACAACAATAACAGTCCCTACGACGCCATGTTGGATGGCCAAATAAACTCTCACAAAAAGCCCCACATGTCGCACATATCTACGTCATTTAGAACGCTAAATATTTGCCTGTGCAAATTCAGTCCAGGGCATCAGCGTGTAAAGTACCCACGGCCTGCGTTTGTTCAAATGTTTGATTTGTTTCATTTCTCACCATTAAAACGTGTGTTAACATTTGCTATCTGATAGTTAAAATGTAACTAAGGACTTACAAAAGTGTCTATGAAAATGAACCCATTGCGTCACCCTGCTACCTCAAGCTTCTTCTAAGAATATTGTAGCATACACTAGATTGGCCTTTGAATTCTACTACGTGTTGTGTGTCCAAGGTCAGACTAACTTGTTCAGTTCTTATATACATCATTGGTTCTAAGTGGGCTGCAGAATTGTATAGCCTAACACTTGTTCGACTCTGATCTTAACAAGAGCAATGAAACCAGACACCATTTTTTTTCTCACAATAATTTTCCATCACACTTTTACCCAGTCCTTATATGGTCATCAGAACAGCTGGCATCTTGAAAAGCAACTGCACTCATCCTAATCAAACATAACAAAATGTAGAAGATAATTAAAGAATGAGAAGAGTTCAATTGCACTGATTTGAGATTGATTTTTTTTTTTTTTTTAGAAAGGCTGTAAAATGTTTCAATCAACCCCAAATGGGCCATGTTCTGTTAAAAGCTTGATTACATATCGCATCAAAATACGTGCGTTTAGTCTGATTCTTCAAGCAGGTTTTTGTAGCCAAAATAGTACTCCGAATTTTGCCCAAATTAGATTAGGCCTACAATCTAGGATATGGTCTGTAAACTCAATATAGCCTAACCCTATCAAATCAAGCTTTATTTATATAACACATTTCAAACATTAATGCAACAGGCTTCACAGGAAAAACTAATAAAACAATGAAAATAAAAACCGAAATATATACTACACAAACATGAGGCAAAACAACTAAAAAAATAACCGAAAGACTAAAAAGCAAAGCTAAAATGGTGTGTTTTAAGATATTTTCAAAATATGTCCAGTGTCGGCACCCCTCGGGTTCTCTGGCAGGCTATTCCAGAGGTTGGGGGCATAGCAACTAAAGGCTGCCTCTCCATGCCTCTTGGTCCTAGGCTTTGGGATAGTTAAAACGGCCAGTGCCAGAGGAACCTACTGGGTACATAACTCAAAAGCATGTCTGATATGTATTGGGGTGCACAATCGTGGATTGATTTAAAAACCAATAGAAAAACCTTAAAAGTAATTCTGAAACTCACTGGCAACAAGTGCAGAGATTTTAAAACCGGTGTAATGCGTGCTCTCCATCTGGTCTTGGTCAGTACCCATGTTGCAGCATTCTGTACGTTTTGCAGTTGACCAATGGCTTGCTTGGGTAGACCAGACAGGAGAGCAATACAGTAGTCAAGTCTGCTTGTAATAAAAGCATGGATGAGTCTCTCTGTATCAGCCTGAGCTAGAAACAAATAAATCAAAGCGCCCTATGTTCACAAAATACGCCTACAGAATGGTACCGACATCAGTAAAAACCAACTATACCTTCCTGAGCTCAACTTCAGTCACCAACTCGCGCATACAAAGTAAACTCTCCCATTTTGTAGCCTACATGGTTCCCTGCACGTCAAGCCGATCAATTAAGCCAATCAATTATGCAAATGATTTGATATAGACATAGCCCTCCCATATGTTTGTCATGATTAGGATAGACCAGGGGTGTCAAACTCATTCTTGTTTTTTGCTATTAATTAAGACCAAGACAACCGGGTGAGGGGAGTTCCTTACTAATTAGTGACCTTAATTAATCAATCAAGTACAAGGGTGGAGCATAAACCCGCAGACACTCGCCCCTCCATGGAATGAGTTTGACACGTGGGCTAGACATTGAAGTAAATGTATGCATTTTATTACTGTGTATGCTTCGTTGGCTTCGCTTGAAATGGTTTTTGTGTGTCAACTGTGTCACAAATTAGAAGGCATTACGCAATAGTTTATGACGCTCTAACTGTAATGGTATAGTCATTATTAGAGCGTATCCACTGTATGTTCTTGCTACATTTGCTCACCGTTAGACCAACCTTCAAAACGCGCCATTAATGGGGCAAATGCTGAACACTAAATGTAGCAGGCCTAGATGATCGCTAGTATGTTTGCTACAGCAAATAATTCTTTCAGGAACGGTGAGAATTTCTCTTCTCGGCCTCTGTTCCTAGGTCTTGATGTGACAATCCTTGTCAAGATCGTTGTGTTTTTGTTTTGCTCAGGCATCATACTGTGGTGCTTATGGGATCTATGGAAAGGAAATGATGAAGACTATGATGACACAGATTTTTTGTAAGTTTAGAAACATGTTTGTGTGTGTGTGTGTGAGACAGAGGAGGCTGGTGAGAGGAGCTATAGGATGATGAGCTCATTGTAATGGCTGGAATTGAATTAATGAAATGGTATCGAACAAATCATACATATGGAAACCACATTTATTATATTCCAGCCATTACAATGAGCCTGTCCTCCTATAGCCCCTCCCACCAGCCTCCTATGGTGTATGTGTGTGTGTTTGTGTGTGCTATAGCCAACACTTAAGAAATGTCATACATTTCTTTTATTTTTTAAAACTAATATCAGTGGTATTTTTTCTCACAAGGGACATGCTGAAGGATTTGACCTCCCAGAGCTACACTCTATACAGTAGCTACTTAGACCATGTGAATGAACTGGATGATCTGCCGGAGAACACTGTGCACAAGATCAGGTGTGGGAGCAGAAGACAGAGGAAGCCATGGCGGAGGCAGCCTCCAGATTCCTATGTTGACTCCAGCTCAGATTATCGCCCTGCTACGAAATACTACTCTGAATACGACAATGAATATGACTCTTTCTATGACAGGGCCAGTGAACTGGAAACAAAGAGAACCTTCATTTTCCTCCAAACGTCATGTCGAGTTACCGTCTGACTGCAAACAGTGCAGGTCTATGCACCTGTGCAACAATGATGGTGACAGGTGTGTCAACATCAGAGTGGACACTCCAGAGTCCAGAAACGACACCACCACCAGCAGTGAGACTGAGTACAGCTTTTGGCCTCTGAACATTATGGGGTCATCTGATTCTATCAGCTCATTTACCTCCTGGTCCTCCCTCAGCTCAACATCCAATCTATCCACTCTTGTGTCTGCAAGATCTGGGATGAGTGAAAGGGTCCATGCTCCACCGTTGGTTTCTAAGGATGAGCCATCCTCTACTAACAAAGGTCCTGCTGGCAGGTCAGAGTTGAGGCAGTGGAGGCACAGTCTAGAGCACAGTATCCGCCGAAGGACCATACGCAGGTTATGGAGACGTGCCATATTGTTGGTTCAAGTTATTGTGATGCTACTCCCAGAAAGACTGAAGCAGGCCACAAAGAGGATTCCTGAGCTTATTTTCAATGTTGAAGAGGAAAATCATCAACCTATGGTATGTGACAACATTTTAGATCCCGACCAGCATCACAACGCAAAGACCACATAAAAAAAAAAGAACACTACTGATATATCCCGGGTGGCAATCAATGGTCAGAAAGATCCGAAACGGGAAAAGATGGAGACTAGAACATCTAGCAAGCCCTTAGGTTTAAAAGTATGTCCAGGGTTGGTGAAGACTCATCGTCCTCCTGAATGTTTGGTCCATCTTTTTGCATATCCCAAGCCAAGATCATTTTTAATCCGTATGATTGGAGAGGAAACAACTGATTTCCTTGAGATGACTCTGAAGCAAAACCGACTACAGCACCTACTGGGAGTGCGTACTCTCTACTCAGACTCCCTGGGGAAGAAGGCAGCCGAGGAGGTTACATCGGTCACACTACAGCCAGTTGAGTTGGATTTCCATGGTGTAGAAACCCCATTCCTCCCCCAGGAGGTAAGGAACAGACTTGAGAGTCATGTGAAGCATAAAGTGATACAAAAGCAGTGGGCTCTTCCCAAGCTTGCTTTGAAGTGTATAAAAGCCTTTAGGGCAGAAGCCGCTAAGTGTCAACAGAGAAATAAGAGTATGGACAAGGGAAATCTGATGATGGACAGTAACGCTGAAACCATTTTCCAGCCTCTGATCACATGCCAACAACTTCAGGGTGAGATAGAGCCAATAACAGTAACATCACCAGGTCAAGAAACAGAGGGGGAGAAATCTCTCTCTGCAACGTCAACTGAGTGTGATGATTATTCTACTGAGGAAAGTGTATGTAGCAGCGTTCTTGTCATAGATATAGCCACTCGACCTGATGCATTGGAAGTTAGCACAGCTGATCCCAGGACCAAATTTGAAATGGAATTGAAGAGCAAGTGCCTGGAAATCATATTGTCTATGCCACAGGAAAGGGTTCCTCTGAAGAGTTTGGTGAAGAAGCTAGTCGGACCAGGTATGCGCATCCCTATACCCAGAGTGAAACATGTTTTATTCATGAGAAAGGCATCCATTAAACTTATTGAAATGAACCTGAAACAGAAGCATTTGGCAAATGTATTGGGAGCGCCCACCATCTTCAGCAAGTCCATGGAACTGATCACACCCAAAGAAACTCCTCAGCCGAAGGAAGTGTCAGAGGTAGAGTTTGAATTGTATTGCTCAAAGACACTTTTTATCCGCAAAGAAATTAGAGACAAGCTAGAGTTCCACATCAAATGCAAAAAAATCCAACACCTCTGGGGTCTGCCTCAGCTGGTGCAGAAGTCTCTTGATGCCCTCATACCCAAGGCACCAAAGATGGATCACAGCAGGGTTTTCCCAAAGCCCAAGTATGACATTGAGGTAATGACAAGTGACTTACCATTTTTGACTGATGAACAGAAAGAGGCTTTAGAGGGCAATGTGAGCAAAAAGAAAGCTCACAAGAACTGGGGTTACCCAAAACGGATAATGGACTCTGAAGGCATTTGAGGTTCCTGAGGCTGTGGCCAAAAACCTGGACAAGAGACACCCCCCAGCGGCCTCTAAGGCTAAGGATGTCCCTGTGGAGCCCAAAGAACCTCAGACCTCAAATGAGTAACGAACACCAGAACAACTCCCACAGCTTAACAGGAGTCCTGAAGGGAGTAAAGTGTATTTCACTCAACAGGTGTGCTCCTAGTTTATTTTGACCAACATATCAAATAAATACCCATTTGGTTGTGTGCAATATTTTTTGGCACACTGGAGTAGTTTTAGAAAGTATACACTAGGGGGAGACATACTTAAGATTTGAGCACTGCTCTGAAACTGGTGTACCAAGCCAGCTATAGCTCATCCCCAAGCAAACTAACATTGCCATTGCATAATTTCCTTGATATCCCTGGTGATGTTTGCGCAATGGGTTAGTAGTGCGTCGGTTATATAATAGGACATTCCTTTTCTACATTCTGTTGAGCAAATGGAAAATTACAGTATCAGATTCTGAGCATATGACTTGTGTGCTGAGTATTAGCAGGCATTCAGTGTCCTCAGCCCCTGGGTTGATCAGCAACACCAACAGATCTCCTGGGGAACAGTGGCAGCGCTTACAGGGAGTTGCGTCAGTTGCCTTGTGTGAACAGACAGTCATGAATCCTTAACACCTCGGACTCAGGACCAAACCAATTACATGTGACTAGGTTGATAGTAAATATTACTTAACAGACCCCAAGCAAAGATCAAAATGTGTCCTTTACTCAGCTTTGTATCTGATAGCACCATTTACAGTAGAATAGATCGTCAAATGACTTCAGCCTGATGAACTGTGGTGATTGTGCCAGCTAACAAGTGAAAACATGTTGGAACGGTTCTGCAGTTACGTCCTTGAATTGACCCCAAGGCATCTAACCACTCCTAAGACAAATAGCAAAAATAAGTCAAGAGAATCGTTATGTTCAAAGCATTTTTATTGTATTTAGAAAAAAACAATACAAAATTCTGCAAGTCATGTTTCTTTGCGTGAACTGCAATCAGTCACATTACAGTAAAGTGCTTATTTAAATTCAATGTTTGTCTCAGAAGTATGATAAAAATAAAACTTAATATTTTGGGCTGAGAGAAAATACAGTGTTAAAAACAAGTGGCAACAACTCCAAAGAGAAGAGCAGGCTCAAGGCTTGAGTAGAGAACCAAGTAGAAAAGCTATTACATTACCTCACTCAAACAGAAATATTTATACAAAATGTTTCAACGTTATTGTTAACTCTTAAATGAATTGCATGTGGGCTCCATTCAAATAGTGGGGAAGTGGATTATGACTGTCCAGTTGAACGTTTCTCATTTTACACGTCGTTTCAAAAAGATCTTGCAACGTAAAAAATAAGAGGCTAGGGATTTCTAGCAATTCTCTCCAAATAAAAAGCAGTCCAAAACTACTGCATAAGTAGAAATGGTTATGACCAAGGAAACACACCGTAGATATAAGAGTACTACATTTTTGTGCAAATCTGAGAATCCCAACCCTAACAAAACATAGGGAGAAACTTCTGATACTTAAGAGAAAGGCATTTTCACAACCCAAAATGTTGCCTTACTCAGCTTAATGCTTTTGTTCAGATTCTTGATAGCAAGGTCGTTTCCCAAACAAAGAAGAAAACAGCTGCATACACAAATTCAAGTAAGTCTTACTATAAGACATAAAAACCCAGAAACATACATAGGTAGAAAGGATTCTTAAAAAGATTACAATCAGTGTCCCATTATCGGCATAATGGGCCTTTTGACACCAAGGGAGCCATATATTCCAAGAGTACCAAACTGCAGTGCTGGTAACACTACATGGACATTCATGAGTTGTCATTTTACGCCTTGGTGATGAGAACGCGCGCATTGTCACTTGTTTTCATGACTTTTACCCTCTTTGGCATTGGCTACAGTGTCTTGAGAACCCATCACTGTAATATAATTTGTCAATTTCATAAAAGAGCCAAACTTGTTTCAAAACAGATTGTTGCCAACATTTTCACATACAAAATAACATAAAAAGAAAAAACCTTCACTGGGCATTCATTTAGCTACAGATACAAAAAAAAAAAAAACTCACTTTCCCAATCTCACACTAAAAAAAAAACTTAAAAAAAAGGAATCTTAAAAAAATGGAACACAACATCTGGTGTTCCACCTGAACAGCACCTGCATGAGGTTGACATAAAAAATAAAATCATCCATGACAGTTAAACATTAACATGGAGTTAAACATAAAATAGTTAACTTTTTAAATAACAAATTAATACAGCTACATGTCCTCGGAATACTTTTTTTCTGGAATGCTTTTCCATTTTTAATAGCCTTTTCCATTGTCTCCTGAGGGTGTCACAGAGGTCAATAGCAGGTTAACCTCTTAACGGAAAAGCCTGATTAAACCCTGAACAAATCCCAATTCATTAGCTAAGTCACGTCGGCTAAAATTTGCATTTCTAAATGACTAAAAAATTTAAAATTTCTAACCCCTCAACTTGACAGATTATTATGCCAACCATGGCATAAAATTACTTTACACTACACAGCAGTCAAATAACTAAAATATATGTTTACATTATGGTTTGATGACAACACTAACTTAGTACACCATTTGGCATGGGAGGCTTTGGTATGGGTAACCAAATTTGCAATTTTTTTGCTCCATGTTTATTGAGTGTAGCATCAGGCCAATCAAGTTCACATTATCTGGTATCAAATTAGTTGCATGTGCCAAGAACTTTAGGTTGGTGCATAAAGCAACTGTTGCGGAGGCAGGCGAAACACATTTAACTCAACCCCTATTGCATTGTAGATATTCTGGAGGAATTCCCTGAAAACAGAAAATGTAGATGAATATTGAATGATGCATGGCGATTGGTAGTTTGGCATAATTCATTTCATCTATGAAACTGCATTGGTAGGCATTGTAGCGTAATAAGGGCTGGTTATAGATACATTCTCTGGTACTAGAGGCTCATGGGCACAGCCACAAGCTTTTGTACTGTGGGCTTAGACCTTCTACAGAGGAGGCTCAGATGAAGAGGAATTTATCCAAACAACGGACTGCACCAGACACTGACAGCATTGGCTTCCACCCTTCTGAACTCTTTCCACTGAATCCCTCCACATGTAAAACCCTTCATGTTGGCTATTGCATAAGCGTGTATGCATCTGCTAATGGGGCATTCACAGACATGGAGAACATAAACCAGAAACTTAATTCACAGTGGATCCAGTTGTAACATGTGGAAGCAGCACAACAGGTAGTCCTTTGGCGTTGGAGCTTGGTTCATACGTTCTGCCACAGACTCAACAAAATAAAAACAGTTTGAAGAGCCCACCGCCGCCCCCACCCCTCCCCCCAAATCCCTAGAAGACCCAGTAGCCCCTCAGCCTGGACGTGTCGTGTATGCAGGCCCTGGCTAATGTGCTTTACAAGTGCTGCTGTGGGGCAGAAGGCAGTTAAGCATTTTTCAGAGTCCAAAATGTATACGCACAGCAGTGTTCTACTTTTCTCCAACTGTCAACACATTTCAATTAATAGAGGATGCGTACGCGGCGCTGGTCAGGAATTTTGGGGATGTGTGCGTTCGGTCTGCGGGCTCTGCACTCCGAAATACACTTTGAGACAGGCATGGCAGCAGTCTCTCCTGTTAAAGAGGTGGGCATGCCTGCAGTCAGTGAGTGTGGCTGAGGAGTTGGGGTCAAGTAGAGGCAGAAAGGCCAGGCTGAGCGGTCTCCTGGAGATCTGAATCGGTGTAGGGATGGTCAAAGGCGGTGGTTCAGGCAGATGACGTGATGACGAGGGGGGCGAGGAGCTGGCAGAGCTCGGAGGCAGAGACGGGCCCCGTCTTCAGCAGGCTCTGCCTGCGCTTGGCCAGCTTGGAGTTGGATGGAGGGGAGAGGCGTATGGAAGTAGAACTGGCTGTGATGACCATGGGAGCCTCGTCAAGCTGCTGCTGCTGCTCCTCCATCACAGCCTGCTCAGCCAGCTGTCGGTTCATGGCCACCGCCTTGCCAGCAAAGAACGTCAGGTCCTTGGCACTGTTCCTGATAGGGTAGGAGGGGAGACCAAACAAAAACCTTAATGCAGAAGTTGGCACTCCAGTTACACTAGTTGTACTTCCCTATAATGGAGGTGATCAGGATACACTACAGAACATATCCCTCAGGGACTCAAAGATTAACTCACCTTTGAGGTAGGATGGATGTTGGCAGTGTGTCAGAGAATCCCTAAAAAAAAAAAGCAGACATGTTTTAGCAGGTGGTTAGACGAAAAACCCACTGAAATGTGCGTCAACAAGTTCAAGAAGCCTGGGGGTGGGGTGGGTAGATAGAGTGAGACTTACCCCCTGCACCCAGGGGTGCTGCAGAACCTGGCCGGCACTCAGGCGGTTCTTGGCATCTCGAACAAGAAGTTTGGAGATCAGGTCTTTGGCACTTGAGGAGATGTGAGCCCAGTCTTTTTCTGGAAACTCATACTTCCCTTCCTGGATACTCTCAAACAACGTGTTCTAGGGACAAAAATAAGAGCTTTCTTTACAATCATATGGTAAGGAACCGAAGGAAACTCACAGCTTGAATTTCACAATTGTGTGTAAGACATGGTGTCTAAAAGTTGTTTAAATGTGCATCTAGGAATATTATACTTCTTCCTAAACAAACAGGATTCAGTTTCTGGAGAGCACAAGGTAAACAAATGGGAGAGAAACTAGAGCGAGAGAATCTGGGTCAGCCAGAGGTGACCTTGGCTTTCTTTCTTACCTGGCATGTGTGGCAGGGTTCTCCCATATCCCAGCCACAGTCGCTGCCGCAGCGGCCCACGAAGGGCGGGTAGCCGCTCAGCAGGATGTAGAGGATGACCCCCAGGCTCCACAGGTCACAGCGCTTGTCATAGTTGGTGGCCTCCTCGCTGAAGGCCTCCACCACCTCAGGGGCCATGTACTCTGCCGAGCCACACTGCAGGAAACAGACCAAGACAGCAGGGTTAGTTAGCCCTGGGCTGGGAACAACAGTCAACTCCCCACCTGAAGCTACTGCTGCTGTTAAATAAACAGAGCAGAGTGTAATATGCTGTGGGTACAACAGTAAAAAGGAAAACATGTCTATGCTGTCCAATGTCCCTGAAATATTTCTTTTTTTGGACTGCGGCATGCCTCACTAGTCAGCTAACGGCTCATGTCCCTCTGCACAGAAGCACAAGCCTGTCTGAAACGCCACTATATGAGTGTCACATGGTAGACAGCAGATTGTGTCAGCGCTGGGCTAAACTAACTTAGTAAAGCAGAGGAGCCCTTTAAGTGCCCCTGCTTTCCAAAACATCTCTGTTCTGTGGAAAATGTAAGGAGGCATGGAGAACATTATGTGCAATGATCTAGGTAGGGTAGGCCAGTGAGTAGGGGGTGGTGAGTGATGACTAGGGCCCTGTGCGACAGCCTGTTCTTAGCGCTCAACACCCACAGTGGACTGACTGAGCAGGCTACAGGCTCAGCATAATTGCCTGCGTAGGATGTGAAACTAGGCCAAACACTGAGCTAGGAAAAGAGGATTGTCGGTGGGTCAGTCCAAGAAAGCCCAGCACAGTTGCATAACGCCGACAAACAAGTGGTGTTATAATACTTTCCGATCACGGTAAAGAAATGTGGGTCACTAGTTTCACAGGACAGGAGAACAAAGACATTCCTTAGACGCTGGCTGCCCTACTTTGATCAAATTAGCTTCTGTTTACTTTCAGAGAAACTGAACAACCTCTGAGCAAATAATGCAGGCGCATTTGCAAGGTTCTAGTTTTAGTTCCAGCAGGACAAAAAAAAACACTTTCCTTAACCTTTCAAGGAACTAGATTCAAAACACATTTCTGAACAAACATGATACATTCAATCTGTGGGGTTAGAATGACCAGACCACATAAACTAAACCCAGACCTCAGGTCAGCAGAGGTATCAAGGATGCACTTTCAACACTCCTGATTGGCTAGCTTTATCATGAAAAGCGCTCTGGTTGAAGGAGACACCCAAGCGCTCCTCTGGTAAACCAAACATCCATAAAACCCAAACATGCTATGGAACGAGAGCCTGCTGCAACACCAGGGCTCTGAACAGCTCAGTTTCGTGGGGGTGGTTTGAAGCAGACTTGTGGTTTTCATTTCACTTTTAAAAATCCCATTCCTCTGTCCGAGGAGAGGCTGGAGTGGTCTGTTTGCACACAGCTTGCCTCTACTGTGAGCCTTGGTCCAGCTGTTGCCCCAGCACCATCCCGCTGCACCCTTATGTAATGCAATTAGCAGGGCATGAATCTGAGCGCAGACAAAGCCTCGTTTGTTGGCCAGCGAGCCACAAGCCCCTCCAACCCACACCACCACCGTCGTCACGGCTGGCTGCCACCAACACCACCCCTTTTCAGGTCAACTTACGTTTTTTACTCGATGGTTAAATGAGTGAGAAATAGAGGTCATTGTTGGAATGGTTTGTGAGTGGGAAACACATACCATCTTAAAATTGACATGTTGAATTATTTTGCCAGATTACATTTTTTTTGTATATTGCACTAATTTCCCTAACGTGGACAAGCTTGCATTTTCACACCATAAAATTGTGGAATTACGCATACTTTTAACTCAGATTGGTGTTTGTAGTATAAAAGGTCAGTCATCACGATGACGTAAGTTTGAATGCTTAAAAAAGATTAATCTTTGTTTTCATACCGTTGATATTGTTACATGCTCGGGGATGCGCACGACTTAGAACACGGAGTTAATGAAAATGGCATGGAAAATTCAGGGTAGTCTATACAAGTCGCTGGCCACACACACCAATACATTGATTTAACAGTCAAACTATCACTTAAATAGCCAACAGTTAACACTTGATATCTTATGCAGTGTCGTAATTTGTTGAAGTTAAGAGAAAGTGGTTTGTTACCTTTTCCATGATGGCAGACTCCCAAAATCAACATTCCAAAATATAGATAAGCTTTCTACAAGTTCTCATCTAACCAATCATGTATAGGTTATTCCAAGTTTCCATGTGGCCTTTAAATATTGTTAGTTTCAACAGCGCTACACCCCAAATGTTTGCCCCATTCTATTGATTTTAGCATGATCGATGGAAGTAATTTACCCCAAAAAAGTGTTGCTTTACATTAACCGCATCGGCAAGCCACTTGAATCAAAATGCAACACTTCAAAATGTAGCCAGCAGTCTTCTACAAATTGTCCTCTAACCAGTGACTTACACATTCCCAGATGTGGTAATTCTATGAGGTTTTTGAGCTGTGTTAGTTAACAGGACGTGCAACCTCATCTCCATCCTCTCACGCAATTGATTTAAACGTGATATTGTTAGGAGTTGACAACGTGTTGCGTTTCGCGTTCATGTATTTTTTGGGTGTTAGTTTCAAAAGCGCGTACAACACGATTCCCCCCCTAAAGTCGATGATTAGTGATTTATTGCCACTTGTCAAAACACGGTTTTTGGTGAGTGTGCAGTTTATAAGGTGCCCGTTTAAAAATTACAAGTAATATGATTACTAATGTTGCACGTGTAGATAAACAAAATATACTATGTTCTCAATATATCAAACTTTCTGCATATTGGTTATTGATTTGGACACGTTAAAACTGTTGACATTAGGCATTTTATAAAAATGTATTGTCAACAGGAAGCAGCGACAGCATAATTTTCAGCTTAAGTTTTAGGAATATAAATGTAACTTTCAACATTAATTTCCAAATGGTATGGTCCTTAAAAGCAGGTAAAAAAAACTGCTGAATGAGTCTAAAAAACATGCTGCAATTGATTTTGATGGTATACCAGAAATCACCAACATGGGCTTGCCCTGCCTAGCAACAGCATCATGGAACAAAGTATATTTGTCCACCAAGGTGCTTTTGAGGAGTAATGGGATTATGATAATCCAAAGAGTACTTATGTTTCACAGACAGGCTAGCCAGCCAGCCCATGACTGCTCAGGGCATGGAATGTAATCTTTATTTAACTAGGCAAGTCAGTTAAGAACAAATTCTTATTTACAAAGACTGCCTACCTCGGCCAAACCCGGACGACAATAAGGATATGGGGCGGCAAAAGGGGATAAGATGAGGGAGCTCTGCTCAACTGATACGTGTACAGCAGCAGATTTGACTTTCTAGAGTAGATCAACTTCATCCTGCTGGTGCAATACTAATGAAGACTTGCAGTCTTTGCCTCTTCAGTCCTTGCGGTGACAAAGAAAGTGGCTAATCAGTTGACATCTGCTGTGATTTTTCCAACAAATCCTCAACCTGGGGTTTTCCTAACCATGTGACCAGTCAACTCATAACACCGCTGCTTGAGGACAGCTTACAGAAAGAGGCGCTGGTCTTTCATCAGCACCTCAGCTGCACCGAGTGCCTGACAAACCTCTGAAAAGTCCTGTGAATTCCCCTTAAAGCTGTAGTATACAGAAATCTCTCCGCCATTTCCTGGTTTCTAAAATTCTAAATTCCCCTAATTTCAGTTTGTGACAAAACAAGCATTGGATAGTGTGTAGTCATTGTACCATATAAACCGCTGTGAAATACATTTGTTAAACCAAAAATATTACATTTCTACTGTTTGAAACTGGTGAACTGGGAAAGTAAAAAAAACAAATAGAGCACAGAACAGATCTACCGCTTAGACTTGCTTTCAATGAGAATGACAGATCTATAACATTTCTAAGTGAATTTGGTCGGGCCGCCCAAGAAGTTATACTGCAGCTTTAAGGCGCAGCACAGGCCCATGCATACCTGATTACACCGCTAAATTCTCAGGAAAACACTAACATGATTCTCAGAAAAGAGACCATTCCCTGAAAGTCAAACCCTTCTCCACCTGAAGTCTCAAGTACAGTAAACATATAAATTGCCTAAGTGTGCTTTCTATAGGGCTGACCCCATTTAGTCGACTGGTTGGTTGATAGGCTGTTGGTTCGACCAAGATTTCTTTAGTCGAGCAGTCGCAATTATAAAAAATGTTCATGGTTCCATTGTGAAGGCCGTGGGGATGGCACAGTCCATCACTCTAAGACATGTGATACTGAAATTGTATTTATTATATTATGTAAAAATAAAAATGATGCAACACTAATAAATTGAATATTTTATAACAAATGCGCTCTCACACATTGGATATGTTTGCGAATCTGAAACAATCTTCAGTGCGGCGTAAAATTGGCATCTTTCCCTATGTTGCTATTTGCATAATAGCAAAGTTAAGCAGCATATTGGGATGAGAACTGCGGCGGAGGCAGCAGCAGAGATGAGGAAACAGCCCTTGCCTTAGCCTAATTGTCTAAGAAACTTGAGGAGAGCGGAAACAAACTTAATTAAGGTCTATAATTAATAGCCTAACTTAAAACATGCCTGGCTTTATAAATCATCCATATATATCCATAGAAATAAAAACAGATCTTGCTTCTGTTGCCTGTTTGTTTAATAGCTTACTGATTCCGTGAGCGCCAAGCCTCATGCAACGGAAAGACTGTTGGATAAAGCAATTTCACAGATTTGACTGTTTTCAATCTTTGCTATGCTGTAATAAAGGCTTTACAAAAATTGTTAGAACAAACTGGTATTACTTAATGTATTTAGTGTTGTTTACCCTGTTCCAAACACGCAGAAAAATATTGTCATCTAAAAGCACCTCATAATACACAAACACGCAGCGCTCAGTCCTACACCCTCCTTTTTCTCCTTATTATTATAATAAGTAATATCGCCATCATTAGTAGGCTTTGTATAGTAGCCTTGTATAACCACCATCGAGCTGTAGGCCTAAGAGAGCGTCATGTTTAGTATTAATACCGTAACTTACTTAGGCCTATTTCTCAATCTATAGGCTACTGAATCAATCACTCTTTTGTTCATGCCATCACACTGCATACGAGACATTCATTCGGTAACAGAACTTTTCAGTGAGAAACAAGTAAGAAACCAAATGGAAGAAATTAATGTTGCAGCTTCAGCACGGACAGCGCAATAAACACTTGCTGTGCTGTCATGCCTTTTTGCTGCAGTAGGTAGGAGAGCGAGACAACGTGCGCCAGTCACACAGGCACGTGCTGTCATTTTATTTAACACAGTGTGACCATCGGGCTCTTTCTGGAGTCATTTGTGTGTCTTAATTATTTAATCAAACAGTGTGCTTAAAGCATCAGACAAGCGCAGTGCATATGTAGTTGATTTTATTCAAACACATAGGCCTATTTTTCCATATAGACACACCCTAAGTTTAAACAGGACGACTCTCGGTCGACCAAGATTATATTTTTTGTTGGGGACAGCCCTAGCTTTCTATCAAATTCAATTTACTCAAGCACATGACAACATCTGTAAATACTATGAAACATTGGGGAATGACACACTAAGTGCAGGCATGTGAGGAAAAAAAGTGGCAGGAGAGAAATGAAAATCAGTTAAGATGGGCCTGAACAGAGACTAAGAAAAACAAGGGCGAGGCGCATGAGCAGCGCTGGGTACACACGCCACTCCCTCCCTCTCCCCCTCCCACTGCCTCAGCCAATCAAAGCACAGTTGCTAGTAGGCACAAGGGCAACTCAATTTCTCTAAAACAACCATTAGACATGGGGCTTTTGTGTCATGAATACAAAGAGAAATGCAGGCTTGCACAAATGTGGTGACAAAGTGGGTGGAGATTACAGTGCAAGAGAAGAGACCGGAGGGTGGGTGGCAATGTTATTTCAGTTTCTGCATGTTACAGCTCAAGTGATACCAGAGGAATGTAGCAGAGGATCAGTGACGGGAGACATTGTCTCGTTCCAATTACTGTTAAGGAAAATAAGCTTCTCATTCAACCACTTCCACATACAGTAGCATGGTTTGGCCTCAAGGGCTTTGCAAATGTGCAATCTGTTCCCTGTAGCCTTATTCCTCCTCCAAGATATTACATATAGTTCTTTACACAGGAAGGACAAACTAGCTTCATTCAAAAAGGTCTGTCAGTCTGACCCAGGGCCAGGTCAATCTCTCAGATAACAAAGACCAGGCTGTTGTTGAAACCAGAGGACAGAGGGGGGATGCAGGCAAGGCTATCATCCACCCTCAGACAGCCCTGAGAGAGCTGAGACCAAAGATCACAGAGGGGAAGACCACTCAGCGCTCACGCCGCCCTGTCTGTCTCCAACATGGGCCAAACTACACTACCCACAAATAGTCCAGGCCAGGGTTGACCTGCCAACAGGCTGCCCAAGCTACGTTACAATGCAAAATCCCCCACCTCCTACATTTCTCCACATTCCCCCCTCTAACTAGCCTGGCCATCAGGTTCACCTGCTCACATCCATCTCCCTCCCTCTGACAGGAGGCACAGAATGGGATGGGTGCCCGTTACATTTGATGCATTCCAGTAACATTGTGCCATTCAGGGTTTAAAGCCAGTTATCTTTTTATGAAACTTTGGGTTAACCATCATAACCTAGCCCCATGTGCCTCACTCACCATTTACACTGATAAGTAGCAGGATGTAGATACTTTTGGGAATCTGAATGGAGCTGATAAGTGCTATTCAGAGATCTAATCATAGGAGCTGCCAGATAGGAGTGTGCCAAAGTTGTGTTTTTATACACAGGCTGAGAGTCAATCCCCATCATTACAACAAAACCAGCCGACAGTAAACTTTGTCCTTGACCTCAGATACCAGCACACCTTCTCCCTGGTTCCCAATGAGGACTTCCTGCAGGTGACACCACCTGGGCTTGTCCAATACCGTACAGGCCAACCAATCTACACAGGGAGCAGAATTGTAAAACCACCCTGCATATCAGCCTGCCTCAGACAAAGGCACAAGAAAGCCCTCATTGGTAGTCCTGTGTAGCTCAGTTGGTAGAGCATGGCGTTTGCAACGCCAGGGTTGTGGGTTCGTTTCCCATGGGGGACCAGTATGAAGAAAAATACAAAAAACAATGACAATTTAAAAACAAATAATGTATGCACTCACTAACTAAGTCGCTCTGGATAAGAGCGTCTGCTAAATGACTAAAATGTAAATGTATTTTTTGTGCCACGTCTCTATAGTCACACCACCTCTGCTTTCCATATAATTTCGGTTTCCCGCCTAAAGCATTGCCACAGGCCTATTTACATGCGGTCAAAACTGGACTGGCCCAACAGAGTGTAGTAGACTGACTTACTGGAGTGAGGAGCTCGGGGGTGGAAATGGGAGAGCTGTCGCTGTTCAGCTTGATCCCACTACCCAGGTCAAAGTCACAGATCTTCACAGGCGAGATCTACAAAGGAAGGGAAATAGGCACATTTTAGAAATGTTACAAAACATAATTATTTCTGCTGTTTCTCAAGAGATGTGACCAGGGTGCTGGTTGTGGTTTACGGCGCCATTGACTATGATGGCACATCAGAGGAAGGCAATTCATGGGCAATCATACTCCAGATTAGAGTGCCCAATGTGCCAGTGGCTACAGATACCTACAAATCAAGACACCTGTAAATGGAAACTTACTTTGTCCGCATGCTCACATAAGATGTTCTCCGGCTTCAGATCTCTATGTGCCATTCCTGTAAAAAGGAAAAGCAGCGTCATTCTGATGTATGTATAATTAGGCAATAGACAGTAGGGGTGGGCATGTGTTTTAGCATGTGTCAAATGACCAGCATGGGCCACTGCTAGGGATCACATGGGAACCATGGCCTTGACCTAACAGCCCAGGTGTGGAGGGAACACGTAAGACCTTTGACCCATTTGTTATTCTACCCAGAAGTAGATTACAGTGGGCCGAGCGTTCTAACTATCTGCTGAAACCAGATCAGCAATGTAAAGCCCTCATGAGAAATGCCAGCCAGCCCATCTCCAGATGCCAGCGCCCTTCCCAGTCCCCAAATGAATCCCCATCCTCCCTCTTGGCCTGCCAGGCGAGCCCTGGCCTGTGGCTCAACCCTGTTGTAGGAGGCTTACCTTTGTTATGCAGGAAATCCAGAGCACTGGCGATGTCCTGCACCACAACACAGGCCTCCTGCTCGCTGAAGTGTAGTCTCCTGTGGATGTGAGCCAGGACTGAACCTGCAGGTCAACAAGACACTTATTACTCTGCTCAACCCTATCACATTGGCTTGTATAAAAAGTGCCTGTATTAAAATACACTAAGAAATTCTATGAGAAGCATGCAGAAGGAACTGGTGCATCTCACATCTTAAAGCGTTTAACCCCTGTTAGAAGCACTCACCTCCTCTGAGCATTTCAAACACCAAGTAAAACTTGTCTTCCTCCTCAAAGAACTCCACCAGCTCCAGGATGTTTCTGCAGTGAAGGAAACAGGACACTCATTATGTGGTCACACTTAATCACATGACAGTCATTACTTAAACAGATTTGTCAGTCAGGGAATGTATGTATTGAATAACTAAAGACTTGGCTCAGGGCATTGCTCATTTACAGTGCCATGAGGGTCTGATGAGGTATGGTGCTTTCCACTAAAATGTATTACTCAGAAGTCAGCCCTGTGGTTGGGCGTCTAGGCAGTAATCTTACCTGTGACCCTGGCACTGGTACAGCATCTCCACCTCCCTGAAGACGCGACTGCGGCTGTGACCGGGTCTCTTCTCAATGATCTGGAATGGAGGAGTCTGGGTTAAGGGCCGCTGGGGTAACAATCTCAGAGAGCCAATGGATGGAGAATCAAGGCGCCACACCTCTAAATATAGTATACATGTGTATACCATATTCCAACCTTCCATGCTTGCTACATGAAATCACAAGGCAAACGGTTCCCAAAGAGTTGTATCGACAATAGAGCGACGACTAAATATAGTTGTAGTGCTGTTGTGGTTTGCTGCCTGGCAGCCCAGCTTGCTGCACAGCCAAGAGAGACTGCTGACACTAAAAGCAAAGGCCTGAATTTTCCAGACACACCCTCCTCTCATTGTCTGAGGGTGTATGTGATGCTCTTCCTGCTCGCTGGATTAGGGCTGCCATTGAACCCCACCGGGCCAGAGCACAATGTGTGTCTAGGATTAGGGGCCTGTGTGTTCCCAAAGCCTCAGCACTGTTCTAAACAGAGTCCGCACCAACCAGTGACTTTCTCCTGATCACAACACAACCGCCAATGAGTAGCTTACATGTAGCACAGCAGACACTAGTATCGATTAACTGATAATGGCAAAATTGACAGATGGCTAAATGAATAGCTAAAGCTGTGGGGGTGAGCCCCCTTTGTCCTTGGAGGTTTTACTGTCCTGTTGCAGACAGTCACCCATCACCTCCAGGGAGAATATAAATCCCTGCAGCTTTAGAAAGAGGGCCCCATTGAGTCATACTGCAGGTCTGTAAATTAACAAATGTGTGAACGCCAAGGAGCACACCATATGCAGGACCCCAGGACGCAGCTAGCCAGGCAGGAAAGGCAGGCCCCTTTGAGTTTGTTTTCCTGCAGCTTTGGCTTTTGCTGGGATTGCAACACCAGGAGCCCCCGCCCCCCTTCCAGCCGTTGAGGGGGAGGGGTGGCTGGCGAGGACATCTGGGCAGTCGGAGTCCACTCCTAGCCCCAACTGACCGAGTCACTGGTTTTCCCACACCCCACCCCCTAGAATCCTCCCCAAAGGATCCCTCCATAGTAAACTATTTAACACTAGTATGTTTATTAGAAAGAGTTGAAGGGAACAAATACCATTAATATACTGGATGCAAAAGTAATGTCTGTCTTGCAGCTGTATACAAGGAATCCATACAAAATATGGACAAACTAAATCTTACATCACTTCCGCAAAATGAAAAACTGCCAAAACTGAATTTCACAACATTTACTTCCTCAAGGCAAAAGAGAAAAGAGGCAAGGCTCCGGAATCCAACAAATTTTTCAATCTACGGCCCATTTTGTAGAAGAAAAAAAACAGAACTGTTCTAGAGGAACAAAAAAAGTGTAAACACCCCATGCCATAACCCTTACCAGCCCCCCCCCCCCCCCCCTCATGTTTTGGCACTGCTGACAGTACACAATGTTCCCACCACTAGGAGCCTGGCTGACGAATGAGAGCAAAGAGAGGGGGTGGATGTAGAATTCTGCTGGCTCTGATTAGCTGGCAGAGTCAGAAAAACACAGGGAGGGGAAGTTTCTGTGCTAGCAGTAGCTAGGCCCCCAGTGCCCATAAAACCACAGCAGCAAAACACTGACTGAGAGCCTCAGACATCCGTTTCAAAGGGCTGAACAGAACAAATATGTCTGTCTAGGGAATTGAAAAATGTCCCAAACAAGGTTACAAGAGTACAGGCTACAAATTTAGATGCCAGAGAGGACATTGATGTAGTCCACAACCTCATGTATATCTATAGGTTATACCATTAAACCATTAAAATTGATTCAGGGCCTACATTTCCATTGCAATTCCTCCCAGTGGGGCTAATGATCAGGTGACCATGTGCAGTTATCTACAATGTAACATCTCCATATTGATCACATGCCAAGGCAGCAAGGAAGTGCAATGTGAGATGATAGCAGTCACAGGCCCTTGTCAGGAGCATGACGCACACTTCAAACATTATCCTCTGAGGTTCGCAATATCCTGGGAGAGCCTTCAATAACCATTCCTATAAAAGTGTCCTACAAATCACTCAAAACAAGAACATGTTCAGGCACTCCATGCTATTGGGGTTCCTTTTTAGAGAACTTGTGCAGCATTAGAAATGTCTTACCTTCACAGCATATTCTTTATTGGTGATGAGGTTGATGCATGTCTGTACTCTTGCATAAGCCCCCTCTCCAAGAACCTCTGCCTGCAGTCTGTAGACATCTGGTAGGACACATTTATATATTTTTTAAAATTGACCAGCTAGTTTAAAAAAATGTATTTTTTTTACTATAATCTACAGAATCGGTCCTTTAGATGAGATAAGAAAATGACTCACCCTCAAATCGGCCAGAGAAGCTGTCAGTTGCCCTGCAACGCTTTTTTTTCTTATTTCTCTTCTTGGCATCGGGGATGTCAATAGGCTGGCTGGAGGGAATATCTACACAATCACAAAAATCAGTAACAATACTATAGAATACCAGGGTGGTACTTAACATAGGAAATGCTGCTACTGAGTTTGTGTCCCAGGATGCTGATATTGGCCTCTTGGATTAACTTTAGTCAAGTGTTCAGTAAAAGAAACAAAAGGAATACACTTACCATGTCTATTCGATGAATCAAAATTGAAGTCTGAATTAAGGAGGGAACCATTTTTTGTGAATTCATCACCCTCAAATGGATTTTGGCCCTAGGTGAGAAGAACAAACGGGTGAATTTCAAATAATAACAGTTCAGCCTTGTTCAAAATGATCAACACATTAGTTAGTGGCCATGGTCTCTTGGCATCCATTACAATTTTGGAATATTGAATCAAGTTTCAAGAATGTCACAGCTGATACGGTGTCCAGTGAAATATTATGCAGATGCAGCCTGGTCCCACTTCTCCATCTCGTAACCAACGCAATCTAATAGAAACAGTAACTCACCTTGAAAGAACGATGGAATCCAGTGACTTCGGTGATCTTCTTTTGCACCATTTTGCTTCGATTAAAGATGATTAGGAGGGACTGATGGCGGCTGCAGCGTGTAAGTAGTGTCAAATTGCACCCTCTCTCGAAACAAAATGTTTCTTTAGAGACTGAAGCAAATGATCCCTGCGCTGTCTGGTCAGGATGATGCCGCGCTTAACCGGAGCACTGTGGTAAAAACATGTATAGCTTAACGTTAGACAACAATCGGGAATAGTTGTCAATAATAGCCTAGACCATACATCAAACTGTATATGCAGTGAAACATAACGTAAGAATATTTCGTTACTTTAACATACGGCTTAATATTACATTTCAAACACGTTAATTGAACCCACACCGCGCATTACAGTACAGTAGAAAACACTGGATGCGTATATGTGCACACTGCACTGGACAACTGCACATTAACTCGAATACGCAGTTAGTCAACTAGTTAACTAAAATCAATAAATTACATCAATATCTGGACCACAATGAATTACCAACGTCAACCGACTAAACAATAAGCGTGAAGCAATATGGTATGACATTTTAATTAAATTAATCGACTTGGCTAGCCAGATAGTTAATGTTAACTGTAGCTATGCTAACGCTATCAACCACACACCACCAGAATGATTCATTTCGATTAATGCCTAGTAGAAAGGACGTCAAACAAAAGTAACTAGCTTCTTATCGACAAACTACGTTTAATTTACCCCCTTGTCGTTTTTCAGCGCTCCAGTGTAAACGCCGTTGTTTGACCAACTGCTTTCATTAACGCCGCAGCGATGGTCGAGCACTTGCCAGATCTTGAGTGTGTGGAAGGTGGAACGAATCGCTGCCCAACAAGCATTTATAATCTCACGACTGTCTCCGCCCATTTCTCGGATAATCCAGCACCTTCGAGTACAAAACACAGCAATAGACAGTTTATCACATGGGCTGGGATGACGTATATATTTTACAGGTCTGATTCAATTTCAGCTCATATAGCTTCCTTCCTTCCTAACACCGTCTCCTTCACAGATCTGAAATGACTAGTTCTATGAAGTCTAAGTGATTGGTTTTAGGAGAAGGGACAGGGGACAGAAAGTGTGGCTTACAGGATGACAATAACAACGGATTTCATTTACATAGCACTTTTGTGTTCTACAGTCATACGAGTTTGGTATTTGGTATTTATTAGGATCCCCATTAGTCGCTGCAAAAGCATCAGCTACTCTTCCTGGGGTCCACATGAAACATGACATAATACAGAACATTATTAGTCAAGAACTGAAATACATACATTTAAAACATCACACATGGCCTACATATCAGTACATACACACAATATTTAGGTCTAATACATAATAGAGTGCATAGTACAATACAATATTTATAAAATGGCTGTGTCTCTTTACAGTCCCCTTTGTGCACTAAGGTGTTCTTTTATCTGTTTTTTTTTAAACTGGTTTTATTGCTAGCTTGAGTTACCTGGGGTGGCAGAGAGTTCCATGTAGTCATGGCCCTATTTAATACTGTGCTTTTCCCAGCCTCTGTTCTGGACCTAGGCACTGTGAAGAGACCTCTGGTTGCATGATTTGTGTTGTACCAATGAGTGTCCGAACTGCTTGAACAGACAGTTCGGTACCTTCAACACATCAATACTTTGCACAAATACCAATAGTGATGCAGTCAATCTCTCCTCAACTTTGAGCCAGGAGAGACTGACATGCATGTTACTGACACTTTTCCTTCATGTACATTTAAGTGCGATATGTGCTGCTTTGTTCTGGACCAACTGCAATTTACCTATGTCCTTCTTTGACCACACAGCTGGGCAGTAGTCCAGGTGCGACAAAACTAGGGCCTGCAGGACCTGTCTGTTCGACTGAGATGTCCAGAAGGCAGAGCAGCACATGGACAGACCTCTTCCCATTTTAACAACCATTGAGTCTTAATGTTTTGAGCATGACAGCTTGCTATTGTATCTAGGGTTACACCCAGCAGTTTAGTCTCCTCAACCTGCTCAATAACCACATTATTCAATAATAGATCTAAACATTGAGCGAGTGATTTGTCCCAAAAATGATGCTTTTCATTTTTGAGATATTTAGCACCAGCCTATTGCTAGTTACCCATTCTAAAACTGACTGGAGCTCTATGTTAAGTGTCTTAGTTATTTATGTTACTGTTGCAGCTAACGTGTATACTGTTGAGTCGTCAGCATACATAGACACACAGACTTTATTCAAGGTCAGTGGAAGGTCATTTGTAAAAACAGAAAACAATAATGGCCCTAGCCGGCTGCCCTGCGGTACACAACTGAAAATGAGAGAGGCTTCCATTAATGAAAACCCTCTGTGTTCTATCAGATGGTAATCTCTCAATCAATAATAAGGCAGAGGATGCAAATCCATAACACCTATGTTTTTTTTCAGCAACAGGTTATGATCAATGACATCAACAGCTGCACTGAAGTCTAACAATACAGCCCCCACAAGCTTCTTACTATCAATTTCTTTCAGCCAGTCATCAGTCATTTGTGTCAGTGCCGAGCATGTTGAGTGCCCTTCCCTCTAAGCATGCTGAAAGTCTGTTCTTAATTTGTTTTCTGTAAAATAACTTTGTATTTGATCAAACACAATTTTTTCCAAAAGCTTGCTAAGCACTTGTAACAGGCTGATTGGTCATTCACCCCCATTCACCCCCAATGTGTAGCACTCACCTGAGTGATGTATGACTGACATGCATCAGAACGCTCACAATGACATCATTTTTAATGTGTAGTAGCTCATGACAACATAGCGACATAACTAATTAATTTAAACAACATACTTGCAATAAGTACTTACATCATATAGAGCTACAACTACAGTAATAACTGTAGAGGAATTAAAACCAAAACAAACATGTAAGTGTGTCTCTTGTGTTTTGTCTACATGTCCACTAATGTAAACTCAGCAAAAAAAGAAACATCCTCTCACTGTCAACTGCCTTTATTTTCAGCAAACGTAATATTTGTATGAACATAAGATTCAACAACGGAGACATAAACTGAACAAGTTCCACAAACATGTGACTAACAGAAATTGAATAATGCGTCCCTGAACAAAGAGGGGGGTCAAAATCAAAAGTAACAGTCAGTATCTGGTGTGGCCACCAGCTGCATTAAGTACTGCAGTGCATCTCCTCCTCATGGACTGCACCAGATTTGCCAGTTCTTGCTGTGAGATGTTACCCCACTCTGCCACCAAGGCACCTGCAAGTTCCCAGACATTTCTGGGGGGAATGACCCTAGCCCTCACCCTCCGATCCAACAGGTCCCAGACGTGCTCAATGGGATTGAGATCCGGGCTCTTCGCTGGCCATGGCAGAGCACTGACATTCCTGTCTTGTAGGAAATCATGCACAGAACGAACAGTATGGCTGGTGGCATTGTCATGCTGGAGGGTCATGTCAGGATGAGCCTGCAGGAAGGGTACCACACGAGGGAGGAGGATGTCTTCCCTGTTCCAGAGTACAGGCCTCGGTGTAACGCTCATTCCTTCGACGATAAACGCAAATCCGACCATCACCCCTGGTGAGACAAAACCGCGACGCGTCAGTGAAGAGCACTTTTTGCCAGTTCTGTCTGGTCCAGCGACGGTGGGTTTGTGCCCATAGGCGACGTTGTTGCCGGTGATGTCTAGTGAGGACCTGCCTTACAACAGGCCTACAAGCCCTCAGTCCAGCCTCTATCAGCCTATTGCGGACAGTCTGAGCACTGATGGAGTGATAGTGCGTTCCTGGTGTAACTCGGGCTGTTGTTGTTGCCATCCTGTACCTGTCCCGCAGGTGTGATGTTCAGATGTACCGATCCTGTGCAGGTGTTGTTACACATGGTCTGCCACTGCGAGGACGATCAGCTGTCCTCCTGTCTCCCTGTCTTAGGCGTCTCACAGTACGGACATTGCAATTTATTGCCCTGGCCACATCTACAGTCCTCATGCCTCCTTGCAGCATGCCTAAGGCACGTTCACGCAGATGAGCAGGGATCCTGGGCATCTTTCTTTTGGTGTTTTTCAGAGTCAGTAGAAAGGCCTCTTTAGTGTCCTAAGTTTTCATAACTGTGACCTTAATTGCCTACCGTCTTTAAGCTGTTAGTGTCTTAACGACCGTTCCACAGGTGCATGTTCATTAATTGTTTATGGTTCATTGAACAAGCATGGGAAACAGTGTTTAAACCCTTTACAATGAAGATCTGTGAAGTTATTTGGATTTTTACAAATTATCTTTGAAAGACAGGGTCCTGAAAAGGGGACGTTTTTATTTGCTGAGTTTGTATGTGTGTATGTATCATGGGTGTGGGTGTGTGTGTGCGGGTGCACATGCTTATTGTATCAACAAGAGAGATGAGTCTCTGCAGCTAGTTACCATTCCTATTCTGTTTCATCTTGGCTGCTGGGTTTTTCCTAGGAGTCAGTGCTCAAGGTCACATGGTGAAGATTTACACTCTTGTTCCTGGAATGAGGTTCCCAGAAAAATAGAAGCATGACCACCTATTTAAAGGAAAGAAAGAACTACACCTTTTAAGCAAAATCAAATATTATTATAGAAAGTTATAGGTACCAGCGACAACATATGATACAGCCTGCCCACCCAATACTCTCTCCAAGAAATTCCCACTCGGGACATGAAAAATTGCTCAAATGTGCAGTGAATGGGTGTATTATTGGTCAGCCCACGTTACATAACAATATGTCAGGGATCATCAATTAGATTAACCTGAGGGCCGATTTTTGGCAGATGGTCAGAGGTCAGGAACATAATTACAAATAATTTGTAAACTGCAAATTGACCGCAAGAAGCCCAAATAGATATACAATTTTACTAAAACATAATAATTCCAAACCTTTCTTACATTTGTATATGATCACATATATCTCTTTATTATGCGTGTGAATACTTTGGAACAGATTTCCAAAATGTAAATTACTAGGAGCTGATTTGGTGGTGTTTTTACAGTCTTTTAGGGGGGGGCCTGCAATATGGCATTCATTTAATTTATCCTTATTCAAACTCTGACAATAGTACCAAAGGCGATCAGTGAACAATCAGCACACTTGGATTAAACATATTCAGTTCACTTCAGGACTACAATGTTTGGCATTTGCATATTATTTGAATAAGCTTTTACTCAAACTTAGGGCTAGTCCAGATCAATCACTTCCAACAGACAACCTTAACTTAAAAAGTAACTTTATATTGCCTAAGGTGTCCTTAAAACAGTATTTGCATGTATGCACTCACCAACTGTAAGTCGCTCTGGATAAGAGCGTCTGCTAAATGACTAAAATGTAATGTAAAATGTACTAAGGTAGGCATATATTTTTAATTTGAGTTATGGGGTATTTAAACACTGAATTGACTTCCTGCTACAATGTAAACTCAAACCTTACACCAGCCGTATTTATGTGTGCGCCTTTCGCCACCTTGTGGACTAATTTAAGACTTGCACGACTGATTTATTATGTTGATTGGCCTTGCCCCATTTACATTACATTTTAGTCATTTAGCAGACTCTCTTATCCAGAGCGACTTACAGTTAGTGAGTGCATACATTTTTATACTGAAAATGCGAACGCTGCTCCACAGGCCTTGTTCTCAGTTATTTTACAAAACAACGCTATTGAATAGATTTAATACACAAACAATATACCAGCTAGAATGTATATTCTGTAAAAATAACAATATATGATAATACTGCACGGCTTCGAACGCTGCTCGTCCAATCAGCATCCAGGATTCAAACTATCCATTTCATAATTAAACATAAGACACTGAGTTTAGAGTAGGAACACAGTGAGTACATTTAATGTCTCCACATACTACAATCTTAGATATGTACAAACATACATATATTCATTTTAGATAAGAGAACAACTAAATTACAGGAATGATTCAGCTTCAAATTAAAAAAACAACAAAGTTCCTGGTTAAACAAACCTACATGGTTAAAATAGATAACAGTACTTGTTTATAAAAATAAAGACTCTTTTAGATTTGGTTTCCTGTTTCTGTCTTCTATATGGACGGAACTAGTCTTCAAGGGGGAATTTGTCAAGTGGTCAGTGGCGCTCCCTTAGTGGCACATCCGTGATGTCATCTCTTTCTGTAGGGGGCAGGAGTGATAGCAACATTATGATAGCAAAAGCACACAAATGTGCTTGTAAACGTCACAATTCTAGGGTGCAATACAGGCATCATAACTTAAGGCAGCTTCCTTTCCAAAAAAACATGTAATATGTAAGAAAAATAAATGAAAACTACAATTTCAGCTCACCTACCAACAAGATAGACAATTTATATATTTTTTCTCACTCACCAGTGGCTCGAGCTCCTTGTAGTCTGTAAGGTTAAACTCAGTTACAAAGTAATAGAAGTGCTTGTAACAGGTGTTGACATGGGCCTCTGCACCCATCTGGTTCACACGATCAAAGTGGTGGATGTAGACGTGGACGAACACACGGAACAGGCGAGACAAAATCTTCTTAGCTACCTGCATGAAGGTCTTTGGGAAGGGAGTACCTGCAAAAACCAAACATAAGATGACAAAAAACATTAAGACGTGTCCTCCTGGGACATGTAAAGTAAACACAAATGTAGTCTTGCTCTCAACCTCATCTCTGTGGTTGGTTCAGTCTAATTTTCAGATTAATTCTCAACTTTAAATATTACATTGGGTGCAAATACCATTGATATAAATATAAAAATATTATATGTATTTGTAAATAAAGTGAGGGATGTTATCTTCTTGTGTACTGGAGGATCATGCTTGTATCACCTGAAGGAGATATGTGAGCCTTGGAAATTACCACCCATAGGGCAGAGGATTCATATTTCCCTTCATCCATCAAGAATAGATTAAGTTATCGGTCTACCCGCTTACACTAATCTAACAGCATTTTAACAATGCATTCCCGGGGACATGTGCACATGCCTATTTATACCCTACTGTAGATTGTGTGACCATTTCTAAAGCCATTGCTTGGCTGTTTCTACAGCTAGTCAGTCACCAAGTTATGCGTGGTGGGAGGACGTGAAGAATGGAAGGTTAAGAATTTCTGGATTATAGTAGATGAACTGATACAACTGTTGCACTTGATAATGACATAGAGATCTCAAGGAATTCAGCCCATCAACATGCTTTAGACTTATTTATCATCATCATCATGCATAGCCAAATAACAGATCCCATCCCATGTACCTAGTTATCATTCTTTGTACATACCGACGTTGGTGGGGAAGATGTGCTCGTTGTTGATCTGTACCTCGATCCAGTCCATCAGCAGGCTCATGTATTTTGGGGCCGGCACGGCTGTGGGCTTCTTGTACTTGTGCTCGTCCTGCCAGCGGTACTCGTACTTGGGCCCCCCCGACATGACAGGGCAGGTCTGGTCTGTGCAGGAGTCACTGATGGTGCCGTAGATGAGGTTGATGCGGTTGAAGAAGTCCACCACGTGCACAGCCACCCAGTCATTAAGGTCCTCTCCATGGGGCAGCGCCACCGCCTGCTTCAGGTCCAGGCCTGCATTCAGAGATGCCTGAGCCTTCTTGTGCAGCTCAAAGCGCTGTGTCCCAGGCTCAAACTTACGTTTCGGCCGGAATGTCCTGTCCTTGTTGAAGACTTGCTTCAGGGCCATGGACATTGTTGCATGTGGCAGTTTGTTTATGTCTTACTGAATGATTTACTGGTTAGAACGAGGAGATATAAACAACAGTGGAGCTGTTATACGCTGGTTTTATTTTTCCTTGCAGCTGGTTTTGGTCCTGAGGCTGATGAAGGTTTAAATCTGAGCAAGGGGAAGAAAAAATAATTTACAGTGTCAGATTCACATAGATGCCATATTGTCCAATTCAGCAGTAACATGCAGTATTCAGTCTGGTGTTGCAATGCCAACAACTTAGGCCCACAATGTATTTATTGGTGCCACTTTTATAAATGTGCAATATTTCAAAAATCTGCATCACCATTAGTTATGTTGTTTGGTACAAATGCATAATACTGTAAGTGTTTGTGGTGTCTCGGTCCATTTCCGAACATTAATAACACATAAAATAATAATAATTGATTAATCAGTTAATCAAATTAATAAACCATATTGAACTAACCAAAATATATAACACACATCTATGACTGCTGTCCAAAGAGTGGTAAGTTTATGGAAGTCTGTTCTCCAACATAACCTGAACATCAACTTCGAGAAGAATAACACCAATCAGTTACAATGTTGCAAAATGTGTGTCGTCACAGAGTTAGTTACCACGTTTCAAAGAGTGAGGGTTGTTAGAATATAGTTACAATATGTTGCAAACTATATGAGTCATTTCCTATTTTTCACATTACATTATGGCCTGGTTCAGGCAAGCGAGACAACCTTGCACGACTTTATGAAGTGACCTCAGACAATAACGCCATGTCATATATTGAAGTTACTTATATGAGTTTATCTAGCCAACAGACATTTAAAGGGGTCAGAGGCAAAAGTGAAACAAACTTCAGTAGCTAGTACATGATGTATCCTAGCGGTAGCCGGAGCGCTGATACTACGAGGTTTGAACGATGAGGGCGCGTGACAAGGCTACCAACGAGAGAAAAAGGACAACAATCGCACTTGTTGCTTTTCGCATGATAAGGGTAACCAGAAACTGCTCCTGAAAACATGTTATTCATTATAACATTTAACGTAGAAATAACGGAGTAAATTGCTACCAAACGAGCTGACGGTGACGAAATGTGTCTCGCAACCACTTTCCCCGAACTTAGATAGGCTAACGTTACCACTTGTTCCGCTTCAATGTTCCTTCCCTTGCTGTGTTCCCTTGAATAGAATAAACTTTGCTAATCCTTTTTATATGTATAACAACGGCTACATTATGATTAATGTATAGTAGTTCTGAGCATAGCGCTAAGTCTATACTTAGGCAACTAAAATAGGCCCCTCCCTACCAACAACAAAAAAAGCACTTCCTCCGATTATACGTCACTGTACACGGACCAAGAAGGCACACATACAGTATATCTTTTTAGTTCACGTGCTAGTCTGAACTCAGAAACTTGGACATTTCTGACACGCTAACTGGTTGAACACGGCACGTGTATAACTAGAACCACTTAGCAAGTCGGACATTTCCGAGTTTCCTAATTCCGACTAGCACTTAAATGCGGTCAAATGAGCCGAAACTTGCAAAATGCAGTCAACCTGCCAGCGCTTCAGTCGCCTCCTGGATTTTGTTGCGTGAATACACAACACTTTACGTTATAGCGTGTTTTGTGAGTTGGATGAACTGTCATGCACAGATTGAGATGATAGCTACAAATCATTCCAAGCAAACAGTTTGAATCACACTTATTCAATCGTCCACAATGAAAATGATACCAAATCGTTTATTTTATTTTCGCGCCTTTTCAAAAATTACTTTGATATCACGATTAGAGTGAGGCCTTAGAGGCTGCAGTAGCCTACCGGGGGTGCTGTTTAACAAATGTTAAATTGTGAACGCAAAATGTGTTTACAGTCAGGACATACAAACACAGTACAGAGACACACACACACAACACACACACACACACACAGCTTCACAGCGAGATCTAAGTGAGCTTGAAAGGTTTTTCTTTGTTTTTCTTTGTATTTCATTAAAGAGAGATTATACATTTTAATTAACTACATTTTACTTGGTCTATCCCCACATTCTTTATCTTTACCATTTAAAAAAAAGTAGTTATATTACAGTGAATTTTGATGAGCACTATGTAAAAAAAAATGCAGTAAAAATGGCTGGTAGACTTTATTTATTTATTTTTAAATTTAGATGTGTGCCACTAGTAGATTATTAATCCAGTGTGATGACTATTGCATACCATCAAATGCCCATATTATGCCAGTTTAAATATGTTTTGTGACATGTGTGCCACTAGTAGATTAATTATGCATTGTCATTAACATTTTATTTTATTTTATTTTTTATTTTACCTTTATTTAACTAGGCAAGCCAGTTAAGAACAAATTCTTATTTACAATGACGGCCTACACCAGCCAAACCCGGACGACGTTGGGCCAATTGTGCAACATTGCAAAGCATAACATGCTCATATTATGCCAGCTACAAGATTGGAAAAATATTTGTTTTGTCCTATTGTAGGTAACTGTGGACTATTACATACACTGGTTTGAAATGGGGATAAAGTCAGGAGACTGAAAGATTGTCAGTTGGATAGGCTCTCTGCAAGGTTTTGTATATTTTACCCATCATATGAATATCATTTTCTGACTCAAATAGGATACCCTCAAAATTGCTCTGATGTCCAAAATATTTCAGATCGAAATTTCATGATTTTTTCAAGTTGCATGTATTTGAGAATGTCTACATTGGTCAGTACAAAATCTATTTTTAATTCTGTAATGGAAATAATTGTATTTCCTATTACCAAGTAATTTACGGTTTCTATGCCTATGGTTTTTCCATGTGGGCCAATTTATCAGTGAATTCTGAAAAGCTATCCAAGGATTGTTCCATAGGGGTGTGTTTTTAGGGAATGATATTGGTTCTTGTAGAATCCATTTTCTTCCATATTGTTATAGTGTTATGAAGTTGTTCATTGTACATTTCCTCATCAATCTAAACACATTAGTCCATAATGACAAAGCGAAAACAGGTTTTTATAGATTTTTGCAAATGTATTCAAAATAAAAAAACAGAAATACCTTATTTACATGTCTTCAGACCCTATGCTATGAGACTCGAAATTGAGCTCAGGTGCATCCTGTTTCCATTGATCATCCTTGAGATGTTTCTACAACTTGATTGGAGTCCACCTGTGGTAAATTCAATTGATTGGACATGATTTGGAAAGGCACACACCTGTCTAAATAAGGTCCCACAGTTAACAGTGCATGTCAGAGCAAAAACCAAGCCATGAGGTCGAAGGAATTGTCCATAGAGCTCAGAGACAGGATTGTGTCGAGCCACAGATCTGGGGAAGGGTAGCAAAACATTTCTGCAGCATTATAGGTCCCCAAGAACACAGAAGTTTGTAACCACCAAGACTCTTCCTAGAGCTTGCTGCCTGGCCAAACTGAGCAATCGGGGGAGAAGGGCCTTGGTCAGGGGGGTGACCAAGAACCTGATAGTCACTCTGACAGAGCTTCAGAGTTCCTCTGTGGAGATGGGAGAACCTTCCAGCAGGACAACCATCTCTGCAGCACTCCACCAATCAGGCCTTTATGGTAGAGTGGCCAGACGGAAGCCACTACTCAGTAAAAGGCACGACAGCCCACTTGGAGTTTGCCAAAAGGCACCTAATGGACTCTCAGACCATGAGAAACAAGATTCTCTGATCTGATGAAACCAAGACTGAACTCTTTGGCCCGAATGCCAAGCGTCACATCTGAAGGAGACTTGGCACCATCCCTACGGTGAAGCATGGTGGTGGCAGCATCATGCTGTGGGGATGTTTTTCAGCGGCAGGGACTGGGAGACTAGTCAGGATCGAGGGAAAGATGAACAGAGCAAAGTACAGAGAGATCCTTGATGAAAACCTGCTCCAGAGCGCTCAGGACCTCAGACTGGGGTGAAGGTTCACCTTCCACAGGACAATGACCCTAAGCACACAGCCAAGACAATGCAGGAGTGGCTTCTGGACAAGTCTTTGAATGTCCTTGAGTGGCCCAGCCAGAGCCCGGACTTGAACCTGATCAAACATCTCTGGAGAGACCTGAAAATAGTTGTGCAGCGACTCTCCCCATCCAACCTGACAGAGCTTGAGAGGATCTGCAGAGAAGAATGTGAGAAACTCCCCAAATACAGTTGTGCCAAGCTTCTAGCGTCATACCCAAGAAGACTCGAGGCTGTAATCTCTGCAAAAGGTGCGTCAATGTCACGAATTCAGCCGAGGCTGCCCCTCCTCCTTGCTCGGGCAGGCTTCGGCATTCATCGTCACTGGAGTACTAGCTGCCACCGATCTATGTTTCTGTGTTCTACTTGTTTTGTCTTTATTGTACACACCTGGTTCCCATTATGTTCATGATTTGTTCCCTATTTAACCCTCTGGCGCCCACTGTGTTGTGTGCGTGTTTGTTCTATGTTTGGTGTCATCGACTGGTGAGCGGGATTTGTCCTCCCTGCGTGGAGATTATGTTCATTTATTTTCACGAGTAAAGTACGTTGTCTCCTGACTCCGTTCTACCACATCACACTAACGCCTGACAGAAACACGCACCTCAAATGGAGTCAGCAGGTACATTAATTCCTTCAGGATCAGTGGAGGAACGCGTCCTGCAGCAAGCGACCATGATACAGACTCTCGGCACAGCCATGGATCGCGTGTTGAACACTATGGAGCGATGGGAGAGAGGGGTTTTTCCTACACCTCCTTCAACTACACTGCAACCCACACCGCTGTCCATCCCTTCATCACCTGGGTCCAGTGGGATTCGGCTCTCGCTCCCGAGGGCATATGATGGTACAGCTGCCGGGTGCCAGGGTTTTCTGCTCCAGGTAGAGCTCTACCTGGCGACCATCCACCCGGCTCCCTCGGGATACGAGAGCGTGTCCGCCCTCATCTCCTGTCTGTCGGGGAGAGCGCTCGAGTGGGCCAACGCCGAGTGGGGAGGAATAGACGCGGCGTCGGTGCGCTATGAAGATTTCA